GCATCTGCGTCTCTTCTTCACCGCGCGACGGGCCTCTTGGAGAACACCCTGGGAACTACACAACCCACGAAGTACTGTTATGAAGCCTCCGCATGATCAACACGAGCGACCGTATTTTTGTAGTTGTACAGGCACTGATCACGATAACTGAAAGGGGTGCAGTTTTCATGCTGTCGTTGACCGCCGTGATGGGCTAGTTTCTTCAGCGCGGTGAGAGGTGAATTAGGAACCTGCCCTTAACGCTCTTCTACCAATGACGCTACGACGCCATCAAACCGCATCGTCTTCCAGCCATCGTGATCAACGCTTTTGATTGTTATTTTCAGAGAGTGGTGTCATTAAATCAATAGGAGTTTCCAACTATGAGGTATATCATCTGGCGGAATTACTTGAGTATGCAAAGGTTGTTTTCATGGTGAATTTTTTCTATTTAGTATGTGCCTCATCATTAGCACTTTCCCTTTCAGCACAGACCCGCGGTGAATCAGTTTGAGTTTCATCCGTATTTCACACGTCCAACTCTTATCCAATACTGCCTGCAAAATGGGATTTCTGTGCAGGTGGAGCAATTTGATCTTTTGGTTTTGTTCTGTTCAAACAACGACTAGATTCAAGCTTGTGTCCGGTAGATACTTCACGCAATTGTAGTGCGGGTTAGACCAGTGAACTCATGCTGGCAGGTGAGAGAAACGCTAAGCAGGGTGAGCGAACGTCGAGGATTCCTCGATGGGAGAGTGTTCGCATTCGGCTCTCGGGATAGGCGACGGTTTGTCTAAAAAAGATTCAAAGGCAGCGATTACGATAAATTCAAGAAGGGTTCAGTGTGACGTGGTGGTGCTCAATGGTACGCCATAGCGAAAAAAGCAGAGAAATCCGTCAAGAAAACGGGACCCCCTTTTTTGGCCGTTGGTTTTCACTCATGAACAGGTAACAGCTCAGAAAGTGGACGTATGAACGAGTTCACCGCAACGCGTTTGATGGCACCATGCCAAACCACGCTTTAATCGAGATGCTCCATTTGCGCCGCTGCTGGCACGCAGCTCGTCCAAATCACCAAGTAAACTAGTGGGCGGATCGCTTTTGGGGGCGGAGTGCTTTCGAAGTCCTGCTCAGCAACCAGCGCACCTTTCGTCGTGAAAGCGCCACATCTCGCTTCCCTGGCAGCCAAGTAACTGATTCGTGTGGTGCACATGCTTCCCCGATGCGCTCCCCCTTTATCGTAATCGCTCCCTTAATTGGCACTATACTTATACTTCGATAGGAGAAATGGGATTTTGTTCGAGGTAAGGATCAGGAAAGTTGATGGGCAGACCCCACTCAGATATGAAAGTAGGAATGGGAGGTGGACTGCAATTGGAGAGAAAAGGAAAGGAAATCGGGAAAGACAGGGCGCGGAAAATGAGAGATTTTGATAGCGGAGAGGGTAAAGAAGTCGAAAAAAGAGCATAATAGATCAACTCTGCGACTCAGATAATATAGATCAACTCTGCGACTCAGATAAAATATCGGAGGATGGGCGGGCCCTGATTCTCCTTGGTAGGGTTGCGGCTATATAAACACCGATCGAGCACACTCAGTCTCATTTTACATGGTGCTGCAGTGGCAGCTGGAGGGGGGGGGGAGAAGGGGGGAGGGCAGGAAGGGGAGGAGGGGAGGGGGAGAAGGGGAGGGAGGACATGGTGCTGCCGTGGCAGCCGGAGGGGCAAGAGGGGAGGGTAGAAGAGGGGGGGAGAGGATGCAGGGAGGGAGAACAACCGCTTTCAAGAGGGAGGGCTATATCCGTGTTGACGTATTACTCTGACGTGAATAGCGGAAGACGTGAAGCTTACGCAGGGAAGCAACGTCCCGGCGGTTGACGGGGGACCAATCTGGTTTCAGTATAATACATTGCCTTAGGATACACTACTCCAGGCCCTTGCTCGGCGAATATTTCCTGGGTAAAATCTATTACGATTTTTTTTTTGGTATGCTGTAGAACGGATGGGAATAGTAGGACCCGGACACTGGGTAAATTAAAAAGAACTTACCATTAGCTGCGAGTTTGATGAAGCTCGGGTGAGAGTCCTGCCTGGTGGCTCGTATTAGCCGAATCTCCTTGTTAGTGGCTTACCCTGTCGCTAATGAAACCGCCTGATCTGTGCATCCCCTGGATAGATTATTTATGCAATTGTTCAGGCGTTCTCTTCACTGGTGCGAGGAAACAAAGAGATTCTGGATGAGCCGGCTGTAAACAATTGGCTGGAAAGTTTGACGTTTCCTCGCAGGTACTGCTCTTCACTTTTTCACAGTTCTATGGATCATAAATTAGGAATTAAAGCTGTACTTATTACTAGACAATTTTATACGCATTCGCCGTGTGCTCTGGAGTTGGCATCATTCCCAGATCTATAACTCCTGAAAGGATTCGCGACAATATAATAAAAGTAGGCCTTCTATTTGTTTTTAACTTTGAATAACTATCTTATATCTCCGACAACACTTTGACGTGCTGTAAACAAACCAAAGATAACATTACCTGTTTATGTTTACAGGTTATATTTATACCTAATAAACATAATCAGTTGAGGTATCGGCAATAGAACTTTCTGAAGATGAGTTGAAATCGCTGCGAATGCTTGATCGGAACACTGCCTTTTGTCCCAGATGCTTCCCATGGAGATGTCTATAAAACCGTGAAGAACATTTTTTCAAAAAAAAAGCAGACCTCAAATAGCAGTTCTTCTTTTGGAGT